TGACGAAAGTCAGACAACCGCATTCTTTGACGTTGAGTTCCTTTAGACGCGACTGTTCCGGACTTCCCAACCTATGTGCACACAGCTGAGAGCAGACAGCCAATCGTCTGAAATAATTCGCATAGATCCTCAATTCACACTTGCGCCAAATTGTGTCGTCTTCGCGCCAGACTTTCAAGCTCTCGTGTCTCGAGAAAAGGATATGCCCGCTCAGCACGGGCTCGCCAGCACGCACACCGCGCGCCTTTCTTACGCGATCTGTCACGAACTACTGAGTGCGTACGGTATCGCTGCAGCAAGCCGTAGATCATAGTGATGACTCGAGGCATGCCTTGACTGCTTCGACGTTGCGCTCGCTCCTCCAAAAAGTGCCATCCGTCTCACCGTTTTCTTGCCATGTCGAACGCCATACAGAGCTCGTGTCACATTGCAGTGTCTTTTGAAAAGTTTTTGAATGTTTTGTGCGGCAGTGAGTGGTGCACAACATAAACATTAGCTAAAGTTGCAAGGTGGACGACACCAGCTTGTCACTCAATTGTCGACTGAGCTGAGCGATTGGCCGAGCGAGAAATAAGTCAGCTGCAACGTGCGGCAAGACGTAGGGGAAGCATTGTCAAGTTGCTTGAAAGGGGGGAAAGATTTGCGAGCTTCGATGGGAGACGCGCAAGTGGGTTTGGTCTTGAGTCACGCGTTCCAAAGATTCTTAATTTGCGCTCGTTGTGGAGCTAGCAGCATCTGATCAGGCCAAAAACGTGTCAATGCATTTGCTTTTGTCCTCTTTTTTCGTGAAGGGACCTCAAGACCATGAGACTTTAAGGGTTTTTTTTTTTGCAAGAGTTGAGAGTGGATCTTTGACTTATTTTGGCAAGATTTGAGGGCTTGCTTCATAGCGTCGGAAATGTTCACAGAAGCACAAAGTCGATAAGTTGAAACAACGTGAAGCCCAACGACAAAAATTTCTCTATCCTATGCTCACACGATGTGCATGAACGTCATGGACGTGAAACGCTCAGAAAGATTTCGCTCCAGGGCACGCTGCTCAACAAGTTCATACGGCACATAGCCCATATACATTGCGGCTTTGACGATGTATTTGTCATTTCCTTCAGCAAATTACTCAAATAGTACTCGCTGCCATGTTGTTCAGATTGACGCCTCTGCAAAGCTTCGCACGGAGGGCTCATGGATGGTCGTCTGTGGAGCTGCCTGGCGGTAGTTTGTTCCTGGAGTTGTCGTGCGGTGCTCCTGGCGTCCAAGTGACAAGCCACAACAAACGCATGGCCAGCAGGGCGGTGAACAGCGGAGTACAATAGTACTTCTTCCAGCTCCTGCCGGACTTATTCAATTCCGATGTAAAGAGACCAGTCTGGGCGGCTCACAGTGAAGATAGGTTTGCAGCTATCGCGTTCAAAGGAGTACCAAGCATAACTGACCGCCTCAGCCCTCTCATGTCAAGTCCAGCACGCTTTCTTCTATCTTACCACTCAGCACAGACCAGACTGCGGCCGAGGAGCTTGAGAGATCTCAATACCTGAGTCACACCAAAATAAGCAGAGGTGATTCATTGTCGAAGGTCACATGCTTCCACGCTAAATAACATAGATTGGAAGAATATTCAGACTCTGCCAAATCTGGCCACAGTGTAACATATTTGTTGCAGTGCGTGAACGCGAAAGGCATAGATCTTTCAACAGACGCAACCAAAACAGAGGGAATCCAACCGCACGCAGAAGGCTTCCTTCTGATTTCTGATTAGAAACTTGAAGTCAACGAAGACCTGGATTTTCTCTTTTTTGTCGCAAGAGCTCACCTCATGAATGCGCAGTACAGAAAATGGCTAAGAAATACCATGGTCAGCTTATAGATCCAGGTAAGACGTACGAATATTCTCATTTGTAAGCCACCAATTTTGGTTCCTCAACTTCCTTCTCACGCCAACGATGAACCTTACTCGACCCGAAGGGACTAAGACAGCCAATGATCCGCTCGAAATGCGCTTTGAACCCTCATAGTTCGCAACTGCTTCTCGCCAGATTCGAACCGACGACCTGTAACCACTTGAGAGAAGCGCTGCCACCACCGCACATACGCTAATAACTAGACCATAGGAACAGTGATGCAAAGAGGGCATACATGGGTATATATTTACCATTCACAGGGCATTAGAATGACTTACAGACCAGATCTAAGCCTTCAATCTAAGGGCTACCTGCGTAATCGTCTGCATCCATCTGGCTGTGAAGTCTAAGGAGACCGGGCTGTAGATGACTCAGCAGAGAGAGCTACCAGCGAGCACGCAGGGGCTAAGTATTTGTTCCGCCGCTACAGAATTTCCAGCGACGTGAGGCTTAATGGAAAATCGATCAAAGCTTCCTCTACTGTGTATACTTACGTATAGTAAAGCCGAACATGCACCACAATCCTCCGCAGCGTGTGAGGTTGATCGAGCAGAGCTGAACACCACATGCTTGCCTGGCTTGAAGAAGTGCCATGCACCCAGAGCCGAACTACATTTGTACTCAGGGGAAACGTAGCCCGTAGCAAAAAGCGCAGCTTTTTTCACTTCTCTACATAAGTTTTCCTAAACCAGACTCTTCTGTATCCATGAGTCACGCGGCTGTGCAGTCTGTTGGCAACATCTGCGAAGAAGTTGTAGCTGAATGAGAGGTCACTCAAAATCCCAAAGGTACACTATGATAGGTGCCTGAACAGTAAAGCTGACGGTCGTGTGAGCTGTAAGCTGTCAAAGAATGTTGACCCGAGATGATGCCTCTTTCAAAATCGGACGGGAAGGTTTTTCTTTTGTTTCTTTTTTTTTTGTTTCTTTTTTTTTCTCATGGCCAACCGAGCGATTTGCAACGCGGAGGCAGATCCCTGCTTTTAGCAAATTTCAAATGCATTTAATTCTGAAGACGGAGGAGACCACTGTGGGTGGCAGCCAAGAGAGTCTGACTCGAGGTCTTGTACTCGATTTAAGGCATCGATGTCAGGCTCCTTCGACCGATCACGTACTTGCCAGTGGGTCGAACCGGTTCCCATGCATTTGTGGGCTTACCATGTATTTTTGCAAAAAGACACGCAGCAAAAGAGCAAAATTTGCTCACTTAGCAGACGGCCAATCCGTGAACTGACAAGCGAGACCAGACAGAAACTTTTACTCCGCTGCAGAAAGCTGATCTGCCCCTAATCCTGAGTGTAAATTTCAGATCTGATGTTATTTGCAAGAGGGAAGAAGCGCAGAGGTATTGCGTGATCAAACTGCACAGTGCCTGAGACCACTGGCTGACATCATTTGAGGTTGAAGTACTCCAACTCTGTGAAAGCAAGTATAGTCTTGCCAATCTAAGGGATGCCGTTAGGTCGGATACTCCTGTCAAGAATGCAAGGCTTTCTCGTGGAACGAAACCCTTACCGCCATAGCTTATCTTCTATCTTCTGCTGATCTGTGCTTCGGTCCTTGGCTCACACAGGCTTGCTATCAGCTGGGATCACGTGATGCAAAATAGCATCATCGCGACAGCTGGCGAGATCTAGGACATCCAAGCAATGTCCGAACAATAGCCGAGAGAGGCGCAGAGCCTGACTAGTCAATTAGGTGAATGGTTGGTTTCCTTTAGCAGAGCGCTCCAACGTGACGTCAGCTGGCGACTATCCTTGGTCGCATTCCTTGATATTGGCCCACGCCTTTCGTTACACAAGCACTGTGTATCTTGTGTGCTTCCTGCGTCAGCGCGGACTTGTTGGATGTGTCGGGACATCTGCTTTACCGCTCATGTGATGAGCTTGTCAGCTTCATTCTTGACATGACTAGATCTGCTGATTGAGAAGACACCATGCCTCCAAAAGATCCAAGCCGAGAAGGGCGGTTGGACTGCAACACTTCAGGAGCAAGATGCAGTCAAAAAAGGCCAGCTGTCAGGGGTGTCTCCAATCGATGCGTGACTGTTCGGCACAAGTCTCAGAGGAGAGCATGCATCTTGCTTCAGCATCGAGGACTGGCGCAGAACTTGATGCCTTCGATGCCCTATCTGCCTTGATGTCGAAGACTCTGTCTTGTCGGGTTGCAGATAAAGTACTTCATGGCTTTAGAGACAGTCAGCAACACGAAAACAAATCGTGTCCCGCTCAGAGCCCCCATTTTCACGTTGACTGAATGGGGTCCAGTGCGTGCTCCAAGCCCCTGCGCTCTTTCCTCTAATTGGATATCGTTGGATTAGCATGTGCAAGCCGGCCAGAAAGCCAGACCGGCTGTGCGTTACAAGAAGACTAACCCACGCGTATGGCAAGTGCACATGTGGACTTCGCTGAAATTTGACCTGTGTCGAAGACTCGATGATGCCACCAATGTGTGTGCCACTCAAGGGCTCAGTAGTCCATGGCTGGGAGTTGTCCTTGTTGAAAGCCAAATTCACGGCGGGTAAGATGACTGGAAGTCGTCTCTGCGGGTTCACCGGTCTGCCCTCCCTCTGACTGTTGTAACCTGTCAGCTGATCACTTGATAGCTCAGCGATTCAGTCCGCTGATCAACTCACGGTATTCATGTATACCGTGTTCCTAGAAAAGAGT